TTGAACAATGCTGCCATAGAACAGCCCTGACAGAGAAACGTCATGATTTTTATGTCATCAACCCTAAGCTTTTATATTTCAAGAAACTAAAAAGGCCCTTGATAATGAATAATAGTGTTCTCCATTTCTGAATCCTTCTTTTCAAATTACAAATAACCTAGTTCTTTGATCCTGGTTCTGGACCTAATAGCTGACTGAAAAATATTTAATGCAGATAGAGGGCTTTACTTCTAAAGTTGCTCCTTAAATTAGATTTTGGAGTACATTAGCTGTCAGTTTATATTAATCTTCAACATAATAAAAGCATGTATCTGAATCTGAAGGCCAAATTTACACTACCTAAAATTTTTTAATCTAGGAAAAATAGATTAAAAAACACTCCAATGATAACTTTAATCTTGAAAGTACAGTTTCTTTAAAGTAATTTTTTGGGGTTATATGACATATATTTCTAGGGAGATAACAGATCTTTGCAATCAAATAAAAAAAGTGGCAGAGACTTCAAAAATGGTCGTATACTGGAATAATTATGCAGATACTCATCATGAACAGGATTCACACAAACCCATGACTAACACTAAGTGTTAGTTCTTTAACAGTATTTACTGGGTACCTACTATGTGCCAGGTACTCCACCAAATAGTGGATATACTGGTAAGCAAAATCAAATGGGACTCTTGCTCTCATGGAGCTTATGGTTTAACAGAGAAAAATATTAATAATTACACAAATAAGAAAAAATGACAGACATGATAGGTGCTATGAATAAAGTGCATGGTACTGCAAAAGCATATAATTAGGGGCATCTGAGTGAGTTTGGAGAGGGAGGGCAAGCTGCCCTAAGGAGGATCTGAAAGGGAGAAGCTGACAAGGGGGCAGGGGGTTAGAAAAGGGAAAAGTCCATACATGGAGACACAGGCAGGGCCAGACTATGCAGCATGTCTAAAGGCCATTGGAAGCTACTGAAGGTTTGATTCTAAGCAGAAGAGATGCACATAATAGATCACTTCTAAGTTTTGAAAAGACCCCCTTGGGCTGCAGCATGGTAGTCTGGGGAAGGATGGTGTCCTGGATGGTGGGGGGTGGGAGATGGACAGAAACAGAGGGACATAAAGGTTTAAATCTATAGGCCTTGGTCATGGATTGGATATACACAGGGCAGGTAGGGAATGTCAGGGCTGACGCCAGGTTTCTATTTAAATAGCTTCTGTATGACAATGCTTCTGTATGACAGTGAAATATTCCTAGTATATTTCAAAAGAGAGCTCAGAAGTATCGAATGCTGCTAATGGGTTAAGTATGACAAGTATTTATCGTGACCGCTGGCTTCAATGACATGGAGGTAACTAGATATTTAGATTGAAGGAATGGGAGAACACTCATATTAAGGTGGGGTGAAGAGTAAGTGGTAAGTGAGAAAATGAAGCTAGTCAGTACAGATCACTCTTATTCCTTCAAGAAAAGCTTGGTGAAAGGAGAGAGACAGGGCTAGAGCTGGAAGAGTATGGGTGGGGTTCAGTGGAGAATACATAAGAGAGAAAATAAATGAATAGGATTAGGTTTTGAGAAGGTGGTAGGGGATGTGGAGGTCAAAAGACTGGTTTTAGGAGAAAAGATTTTATCTCCTGTAAAAGGAGGTAAAGAAATGGGTACCCTGTTCTGCTTTGGTATTTCTGAGCTTTTTCTTTTTTCTTCAAAGGAAAAAAAGAAGCCTAAGGAAACAATGTTTTCAGGCCTCTCAATTTATACTGCCTATAATAAAGGCGAATACATAATTTTTTACCATATTTTGGATTTGTGTATTTTCAAAATAAGATCCAATCTGGGAAAAGTATAAAGGCACAGATCAAGTTTATATACGTAGGTGTCAACGTTGTTTAAATCTGCATGTTCATTATGAGAATACAAGGCTGCTTCTCATTACCTGGATAACTTCTGGGTAATAAGATAGACCAGATACATTCCAGTTAGAAACCTACCATCGTTCAATGTGCAGAGATGAAAACGTCCGTGAAGCTGCTTCTCGAGTTAATAATTTGAACCCACACTGTGTGTCCCTGATTCCTTTGACACAAAGGAACCACACCAGAAAGTGGAACCCATACATGAGAAGAGTACGGAAGTAAGAACGCTGAAAACAAAGACAAAATATAAATGACTTTTCCATTTATTTGTAAAGAAGACATTGAAAACACCTGGCTGTAGATAACTGCATT